CATGAACACCTTCTGGTAAGTTAGAAGCTTCAATTCTAATCGCAAAAGCACGAGGCATATGCATCAAGTCCAAGTGTGTTGGATATTGAACCCACGAAGCATCACACACAAGTGTTAACTTCAGATTGAAGTCAATTTTGCGTGCTGGATCTGCAAAATAATATAAACTTATTTTATATATATGACTCCCTAGAGCTAATATATAATTTTATATAATTCTCTCTAGACAGATATCTTTTGTATCACAAGTATTGAAATAATAAAAAAAGTTTTCCAAGTGTTACCTATATTTTCACTATTTATGAATACTGGTTCGACAGTAACTGCATAATCCTTTGGACGATCAATGATACCCGTTCTCATATGAATACCTTTCGAATTGTTAATGCCGCAGTTAATGGCAAATCGAATGTCTCTTTCAGGAGCATCGCAATACGAGACAAGATTATCAAATGCACGTTCGACTTGCAATAGGCCAGAGCCTTGTGCAAATGGATCTAAATTGGATACAAACAGAGCGGTATTTTCCAGAGCCCTTTTTATACTATAGGGAGAATATGGACAACCTTTGGCGAGAAGGCCCGATATAAGAACCGCTGAAATACAAAAAAGTTCGGTATAAGAACATTTTCATAATTATGCTCGCTTTAGTGTAATCACAGATAGAAAGTTCAATACGTACCAACTGCTCCAGTTACATGTGGACTTGCCATACTTGTGCCATTCATAAGTTGACTTTTCCTAAGTGTAAAATTTGGGACACTGGTGATAGCACCTCCTGGTGCACACACTGTCACACCAGCACCTCCGTCTATCATTGGGCCACGGGAGGACCAAGTATATGGCATGCCTGCCATCTTTTCTCTTAAAGAATATTCAGCTACCATCATGTCGGGCGACACATATGCGCCGACACTAATAATACTGTTTGAACTGATGTCAGGAGGTGTTCCTATAATTTTTTTAAAGTATTTGGGTATAAAATGTCTGGATACGTTGTGTGAAAAAAATTAATTTTACGCCGTGAGTGTAATGGTGCTGGAAAAATCACATCAAGCGATAAGGTTGATTCTAAGAAGCAGATGGAATGTCAGTGGAATGTTATTATAATTACCAATAGTACATAGAGCTGGTCCAAGATTGCCAGCGGACGCAACCCAGGATACACCATATACGTCAATAACTTCATTCATCAGTTCTCCTATTCTACCTGTATTCGACCAATGAGCGTGCTCTCCGTAACTCATGTTTATAACGTGAACCTTCTCTTTGCGTTTCATAATATGAATCATTGCTCGTACAACAGCAGTTCCAGTTTCCATTGTACCAAGACGTCCATCACCGACAGTTAGCGAAATAATTTGGGCACCTGGTGCTACCCCGTTTAATTCGGGATTATCGGGAAAATACGCAGCCGCGATTGATGCCACGTGTGTACCATGACTTGCTGTAATATGATTTAATCAAAAGAAATTTAATAAAAACTGACGCTCAATATTACACGACTTCAATGCGTTTGTTCCTGTACTTACAACACAAGCTGACAATTTCTAACGTATTTCCTTCATCGTGAATATTAATACTAATATTTAACTGATCTTCTTGAGTAAGAGGAGCAAATTCCCTCGTGACAGAATATTCACCAAGGAAAACGCCAGCTTCTAAATTACCTTCTTCAGAAGTATCAATACATGCTCTATTACAGAAAAAAAAAATAGATATAAAATTAAAAAAGTAAACATAATGTAAACAATTTAAACTTTTTAATATATAAGTATGTGCAAATTTAGAATTACAACATACTCGAAATAAGATTACCTCCAAATGTTACCATCGTGAAAAACAACGCAATCATAAGTGGGCCCTGCATCACAATACTTTTTCTCAAGGCTGTTCAATACTTCAACACGGGCTTCAAGTTCTTCTTTCTGCAGTCTTTCTTCCACAGTCGATAATTGAGGATTCTTGCTCTCAAATTCCTACATGTTATAATTACTTATGTATTGAAATGGATTTATTTAATAAAACTATATGCTAATAATGCTATAAGATTTCGATTTACAATAATTTAGTTCAACACACATATATATATCTTAGATTCTAAAAATTTCTGTATATTAATAATAATTTAGATTACATCTTAATATAAAAATAACACTGCAAAATTAATAAGAATGCTATACATAGCACACATATAATTTGCTTAAGAGAACATTATGCAATGGAATCAATGTCTTTACAATAGATCAATCTGCCAAATACAAATATAGCATTAGATACGGATCACTGTGACGTGTGTTGTGAAATAGCGGCCTCATTTAATTGCATGATTTGACATGCTCACAACACTCCTATCTTTGGATCACATGAACTAAAATTCTAATTACAACTTGCTAAACAATGTTTCCAATAATTATGATGTATCAGCAATATTATAATTATATATATAAAGTAAGATGAGACAAAGCAAAAAGAAGTGTTACTTTAATATTGTAAAAAATAAAAATTATAACTTAAACTTATCTCAAGATATAAAATATGAAATAAATAACTTGAAAATACTTGAAAATAAAAGAATTATTAATATCCTACATTTAAATCGTTGAAATCGACAGGCTAATGTAATATTTCATACATATTAAAAAACAATTAAAGTTTCAATAAAAACATTGATATAAAAAAACTTGAGAATTCAATATTACAATACCGAAAAAACAGCAGCATAGAGCTCTAAGAGTCAAACTAATAATATTATTATATACCTGTAATTGCCTGGAAGCTTCTGCAAGTGCTGTCTTATGTCCATCATCCCAAAGATGCTTTTTACGCTCTGCTACTACTCTTTCCTTTAATTTAGTAGGATATAATGAATACAGATTTTTTAAACCAATATGATACTGTCCACTAGGATTATTCCAAGTAGATGGAACCTAAGAATTAAACATTATGATTTGTATGTACTATAATTATGAAGTTATAAAATATATAACACAACATTTTATTCTTTTTTTTTTTCAAAATAAAAAAATGTTGCAATATATAATATTTATTAAACATACCTTTAATTTACGACCAGTTAAACCATTAATATATCCATCTGGTGCTTGAACAACTTTGTTAGTGTCTACATCTCCTGCTCCACTACAGTCAAATCTTTCAATAATTTTTGGTTTTCCATCTGATGTCATCTAAATCCCAAGAATTGTATTTATAAGTAATTAATTAATATTTCTTTAATTTAAAATTATAATTGAAGTTATAATATGTTTAGTCAGTCCTTAAAATATCAATTTATCAAAAGCTGCAAAGTACAATACATAAAAAATTATTTAAGAAATAATCAAACTGCATGACTTGTATTGTAAAATATTCAAATTGTAGAACAAAGACATTGTACTGACATATGCCATGACATGGTACAAAAATAGTTACAAAATCAAAATTGTTATAATAAAATAAAATCTTAGCTGTTAAATAATTCTGAATTATTAACATAAAGAAGTCAATAATAAAATTAGCTTGCTGGCATTAAAAAAAGTTTTCCCTAATATCTTAGACCAAAAATGATCGTTCCATGAAAGAGCAAATAGCATGACTTTTATTTTATCTTTCAATGTAGATAGTTTTTAAGATACATGAAGTACTAAAGATAATTAAGAGAAAGAAGTGTGGTAGATGATAGTTATTGGTTGAGATACATTTATTTACGTGAAATTTTACATTCGTATTTTAAGAGTTGAGCGGACGGCTAAGAAACAATAAAATAGCGCTTTGCGGAATCCTGGAGACATCGATGTATAATCAAAGCTATAAATTTGCCCTCACTTACCTGCATACCAGGAGCTCCAGGATCCACTCCGGAATCGAGGATCGCGATGATGACGCCCCGTCCATCGTACTCGGGGTATTTGGTGAGGAATTGAGTGACACCCGTCTCTTTTTTAGGCAGCAACCCCCAAACAGGAAAATTACAATCAATGACGTCTGCCATGTTTCGAATGCCACTGCCACCGCGACTGTAAGAAAACCACTTGTGATGTTTCCTTTGTACTGCCACAGCCTTATATATCAATCAAAAAATAAGATCTGCGCTTGCGTGCGTGCTGATGCGTCCGTTTTTGAGGAGGTTATGTTAATGACAGTTAGTGACGAACGGTACAACAATCTCGGCGTCGTATGAGAAGTTTTTGGCATATTAACTGTAGATGGTAGCACCTGCATCTAGCATCACGTCAATAATTACAGATACACTGTGTATAGGTTAGTAGCAGATCAGATGTACGCGATTGAATGTGTAGTTGATCATGAGAGGTTATGTTTCTCGCCTATTTTGAATAAATAGCCAAACTGGCTTTCGATCATATTTTCCACTACACGAAAGAATGCAGCACTTATTCGATAAGCCGAAGTGGGAATGACGTAACCGCAATTCGAGCGAGTCATGTGCAAACTTAAAGTATGGTTGTCACGCAACGAAAGATGAAGCAGGTTGCAATCTTCACGGTTTGTATATTATTAGGTGAGTTTAAAAATATTACAATTTTTCAGGAGCAGTGATTCTTTTCACCATAAGAAATTGTCAGATTGTCGGATTTCATAATTCAACAAGCCAATTTGTTTCTTTTCCATGTTCTAATTTTTTGCATTAAAAAATATTTGATTTATGCCTTTATGTTATAGTCAAACGTATTGCAAATTTGAAATTCTTGAAATTGCGAATTCCCCTGGTCTTATTTTTGCACTCACTGCTTTTGAAAATACGTATTTACTTCCGCTTCTGACCTTGCAAACTTCTTGCAAGATCATGACTTTAAATCTCAATGTTTTTGTTCTTTTCTATTTAAAATTGTGTAATCTATATGTTGAATTTTGTTTGACACATACTTTTCTTTTAAAAAATATTTTGTTTACGCAATTACATTGACATATGTATACGAATATTCCTATTAGTGTATTGCAGAATGCTTACAACTACAGCTTTATGTTAAAAATAGCAAAGTGTCAATTCCTACTTTACATGTGCGGATAAAATTCAACCTTCGAAAAATAAAAGTCTAGAACATATAGCGAAAAGTTATTGTAAGAAGAACGTTTTGTTAAATAAATTGAATACGCTGACAAATATTTTTGTTTGATTTTATAGAATTTTTTATATTTCTCCGTTTTCAATTATAAGTTGAAATGTATAAAATCATGATATTCAATGGAAAGCGCACTTGTATAATTGTTGTGGCTTGAATCATCTGTAATTATTGTATTATCAAGAAATGTTATCAACATTTGTTTAGTGTTGACAAATGTCCCAATAATTTTAAATGATTAATAGATATTTAATACGCAAATAAATATTATTGAGCGGATATTGTGGAATATACTTTCCTTCGAATACTATTTTTATTCTATTGTTCTCCATAAAACAACAACGATTTCATAAAATTAATGCAATAATATTTTCATATTACTTACTGGCAACCAAAAAGCTTTTTCAGAGTACGAATATACAGCATAATTTACGTAATGTCCGTCATTTGCGCTAAAGATCACTGAACGCTGAGCAAGAGATTGAGTAAAACAGTACAGAGTGGGGAATTTTTGGAGCGTACTATTGCGCGTAGACGTCATATTTGATTTTAAATAAACTATTATAAACTATCACGTTTGCTAAGATGTAATCTATATAAATATTATAAATTTCATAAAATAATTTGATGGAAATGATACGAAAATTCATATGTGAAAGCGATTTCTCATGTTTTTCCCTAAAATATTCTGTCTGATACGAAATGTCAATAAAATAAATTTATATTTGATTTTATTCATAAAAAAATACTTTTTGCAAGACAATTACATTATTATATCTTTTAATTCCAATTTTAACATTATAATTATTACATTATCGTGAAATTTGTGTCAAGCAATATGTCTGCATGACTAGATTCGTAATAACTAGATTTTCTTCGCTTGGAATAGTATTGGGCTTTTACAAAACTCTGGTGACTACAGAAGAAGAACGATCCTTTGGCCGAAATCGTGCCGTAGTTAGGAATAAAGTCAGTTTCGACAACAATGAGGTTGGAACGCAAAAAATTCACGAAGCCGAGGAGGAAATATCGGACGACATCAAGAACATCGAGGAAGCGAAGATTCGCATCCGCGAACTGGAGGGTAAGCTGCAGCATTTGGAAGCAGCGATCAAGAACGGAGTGGCGAAGGATTTTCCGACGGTGAAATTTTTAAATTATAAGAATCGAAAACGCATACTAGTGACGGGTGGCGCAGGTTTCGTCGGTTCTCATCTGGTGGATCGCCTAATGCTCGCTGGACATGAAGTTATAGTCGTCGACAACTTTTTCACCGGCAGAAAGCGAAATGTGGAGCACTGGGTCGGTCACGAGAACTTCGAATTGGTGCACCACGATATCGTGAGACCATTATATCTGGAAGTCGACGAGATCTACCATCTTGCCAGCCCGGCCAGCCCGCCACATTACATGTTAAACCCCGTGAAAACAATAAAGACGAACACTTTAGGCACTATAAATATGTTGGGTGAGATATCGACAAAAAAAAAGTGTTTGAAAACAGAGTTGCTCAAGATAACGTTGCGTAACTTGTTGACGATATTTCAGGACTAGCGAAACGAGTCGGCGCGCGAGTATTAATTGCGAGCACGTCGGAAGTATATGGAGATCCGAATGAACATCCGCAGGCTGAAACATACTGGGGCCACGTAAATCCCATCGGTAAGATTCTGAATATTTTGTCGTGCTAAGAAGTGTATTTTTTCCTGTAAATTGTTAACATTTTCACGGAAAATGTATTGAAATACAGGTCCACGAGCATGTTACGATGAAGGAAAACGGGTTGCCGAGACGTTGAGCTACGCTTATATGAGACAAGAAGGCGTTTCAGTGCGAGTCGCACGAATTTTTAATACCTTCGGTCCCCGAATGCACATGAATGATGGTCGCGTCGTGTCAAACTTTATCCTTCAGGCTTTGCAAAATGATTCAATCACAATTTATGGTAACGGAAAACAGACACGATCATTTCAGTATGTTTCCGATCTGGTTGATGGATTAGTAGCGCTAATGGCATCTAATTATACCTTACCCGTGAATATCGGAAATCCCGTAGAGCACACGATCGAAGGTAAGTCACCTATTTTGCACATCATAATTGTTTGATTTTATTCATCTGAAAGTTAACACAACAATTTGTTACAGAATTTGCGCGCATGATAAAAGATTTGGTCGGCGCTACTAGCGAAATAATCGAACTCGCAGCAGTCGAGGACGACCCGCAGAGAAGAAGACCGAATATCAGAAGAGCCAAGGAATATCTCAATTGGGAACCGAAAGTTCCTTTAGCTGAAGGTTTGAAAAAAACTATAATATACTTTGCTAAAGAATTAAAAAGAACAAAGCATTCTCAGAAAAATAGTTTTAAGCAGTCTTCTTACAAAAACGATCACGATATAGTAGAACAGCTTTAAAGGATCAAGTGTAGCGATACGATTAATGTATCCACTTTCAAAAGTGAAGTGCCATTACGCTATGGACCAGTATGTGCCAAAAAAATCCCCGTCCAATTTGAATTTTACGTAATTTATACAGTAATGAATATACACTAACGAATGTATCGCGATACACGATTAGTCAATCTCTTAAACTTTTTTATCATACGCATAGAACACGTTTTTTACAAGAATAATTTAAAATGTATTTTTATTTTTCTCTTTCTGTTTCGGTAATTTTTTATACATATATTTGAAATATATTTATAATATATAAATAGTTCATGTGTTAATATATTTTTTTAAATATGTTTTAAAATTTATTTTGTACTATTTATTTGGAGCACTATCACTATTTCTGTGTACAGATAATGTTTTATTTTTTTTTATTTCATAATTGTACATTTTTTATTTCATGTACGCGGTCCTATAATTTACATAAAAGTAGAATTGAAAAATGGTGCCGATAATATAAGAAAATGTTGTTTTCTTCTTTGTAATATATTAAAAATCGCAAGCTTGAACATGGAATTACTTCGTTTATAAGCTCTTGTGTATAAAAGTATATATAGTAACCACAAAACATTGTTCGCTTTCGATTTTATTGTCTTAGTCATGATAGTTATAATATCAAAAATGTACTTGCAATATAGAATATTAAGAAATGTTTATATTATTAAGTTATTTAAGTATAGCGGTAAAAATTTGTGGATTCTTGTACAACGCCATCGAAGCGGATGGCAATGCCGATAAAATAATGTTTGTAATATATTACAGTTATATGATATAAAAATATAGTGTGGATACACATTTAGTGTAATCATAAAAATGTGAGACTGTAACAACAAACAACGTATAAGCAGGAAAGTAATTTTATATTTTATATATAAATAGCAGAAAAAAGCCACCTTTACGATAATGTATCCTTTACATAATAATAATATAGGTACAATTTAATTAATTCCTACATTGTCGCTATCAAAAATGATAAGATGTTAGTTTATCGCAGTAAATTCCTTTCGTATAAGAGTAATAAAATGAACATATAATAATATCTAAAATATAATGTAAATAACTATGCATTAAAACATATGTAAACGAATGTCTTTGTATCAAAAAGCATAAAAATATATGTACATTGCTGGATATAGCATATACTTCAATGTAAACATCATTATTTTCATAATGATATAATGTCATTTCACAATTTGTTCTCCAAATTTTTATTTTATTTTCTCTTCAAGTATAAGCAGTATAAAAAGCTAATGAAAAAATTAAAAAAAAATTTTTAAATTAATTTATTAAATTTAAAAATTTTCTAATCTCCAAGATAACAAATTTGATTTCACGAAATGAATCACTGTCAGCCTGCTTCAACAAATTTCTCACTCTTACATAACGCGTCACTAATTCTTATCCGGTCGGCGAGCATGACTAGATAATATAATCCTATTGTGTGCGCGACCATTTATGAGCGACCATTTATGAGCGATGCATTCCAGGACAAGATTGAAGAATAGTCCGTGTCGTTTAGTGCGGCTATTTGAAGGGCCGATTGGTCGTAATAGGTGTCGCGTGGGCTATGACAGGGCGCGCGTGGTCGACCGCGTCTCATCTCTTCAAAAAAAGACGAACGGAAGATGAAAGGAAGAGTAAGTGGAAGAGAGATATAAGGCCCGGTAAGATTCTTAATGATAATGATCGCATCCGGGATATACTCGGCGACTCGGTTGGCGCAAATGAAAGTGCCGCCGGGGTGACGATGATGACCTAATCGTTGTAAAGGCGTTCGTACGAAGTCTACGTCTGACTCGAAGTTTAAAGAGCACGTGAATGGCGAGTGACTACGTGCTTAAAAAAAAAAAACTAATTTAATTATAAATCTGTCTTAGCTGTTCTTTCCGCATTTACGATTGGACGCAATTTTAATTAAATTCGAATGAAATTCGAAACGATATTTCGAGTTAACTCTTAAATAATCTGCGAAGCATTTTTCAATCTTTTGATAAAATAGCTGAAACGCATTACATATTTCTCTTCTCGAACAGCTGTCATTAGGATACACACGTTAACAAGACTGACTTGCGCTTTTGTAGCGTTTACGCGTATCGACGTGGTTCCTCGACATCGCACTGACAAATGTACACGTATGCGTGCACAGCGACGAGAAAGATCAAAGTAGCCGAGCAACATCTCGTACAATTTCCTTATGACAAATGCGCCTGAGAATTATTATTATATAGGCAGTCAAATTATATTCACGTATGATCTATGAAACTGTAATTACGACTGCCTCGAGGCGGCCGAGGAAAAACAACAGCGACAGGGACAGGAGAAGTTGCGGCGCGTGTGTTCTTGACACTTCACTGATTTCAGCTCGATAAAATAAATATCGTGCCGATAAAAACACCACGGCGTACGTATAAAGGTTAATTTATCCGCAATGCGTTATAGAGGATAAATAAACGACTTCGCGCGATTTCCCGGATATCTGGCAAACATTCGCGAACTTTTTCAAGGGAGATTTATGTAAACGCGGTACGAAAGTAGTCGCGACCGAACATCTATCTGCGTCAGTGAGCCCGAAGGTAGACGGTCTCATTAAGTAGTATCATTTAATTTCTCCGGAACAAATTAAATAAATCAGTTTTTCTCTTGATAAATTGCACAAAGGGCAAGTGAACTGTATTTAATCTGTTCCACTTCGTAGATTGGAAAAGCACACATCTGTTGAGATTAAAGACTGCTGCGTACAGAAAGATAGATACGGAAGATGTCATTTCGAGATAATCGGTGAGTTTACGGAGGCGTAGGGTCCGTCGACACTTAACAAGCGTGCTTTCGGCGTGACACGGGCCTACGAGTGCTGACAACATTAGATGACTGCGTACAGGGCACTTTCTTGAAACTTCGGCTTATCGCCCGAACTCGAAGTGTCGAGTCCGGAAGACCCAAGTCAAGTTTCGACCATGAGAAACTTACAAATGCAAAGTTCGGCATGGGATCATAGTTACATTGCATAGTAACCAAAGTTGCACGGACGCGATAAAGATCCCATTCGAGTTTCCGGAGTGAGAGTAAGTGCGTCATGACCCTGCGATGTTTCATGCCGCGGAAACGCGTCACGGCACAGGTGTTACCGGGCGTTGCGAGGCGATGTTCGCGAGTAACGATAACAACCGATGCGGGTTAACAGTCGGGCAATAAAAGCCCTCCCCCTCGCGTTCCTTACAATCCAAACGTCCGGCGTGTAAAACATACAGGGATTTCAGTAAAATTATTTTACTACCCGGCCGTAATATACGAGCGTTTTCGATATTATTTTCTAAAAATTTTACGACTACTTTCGATTCTCGTCCGGTCGGAGGCTCGATATAATCGTTATCGATTGGTATAAAACGAAAATTTATGAGAATATTTCTCGTTGACACCTCGCCATTTATGATTATTAGGGAGGTTTTTTTTTTGTATGCTCCGCTCTTCATGCTGGCGGGCGCAATTTGTCCCGACTCTGTGGCGTTTTCCAATTTTTTTGTTACGTCGTGCGTTTTCATGATCTAAAAATATCTAGCCGGTGTATGTGCATCGTTCATGGCCGCAATGAGACGGGCAACACCGTCTGCAATGACCATCCGGCGCCGCGTGAATGACCCTACGGTTAGTGCAATACGTTGGTATCAAAGATTTTCTCATTTTGAAAAAGGTGCAAATCAAAAATTAACAATTTTAATATGTTTATACATATCGCGAAATAATAGAAATAAATATTAACATGGAATGCAGAAAATCCAATTAAAGCTCTCAAATTGTTTGAATTATTTAAATTTCAAATTATTGACAGACGTAATGTAAGTTACATAAACATTACAATAAAAAAACTGATGTAATTTATGTTGATGTAATGCGAAAAATGTGTTATTTTAATTATAAACGATTTGACACAATATGAAATAGAGAAAGAGAGAGAGATTGTGTTATCTTATATACCTATATGATATACCTAAAGTTATCTGTATTTATTTAATTTATTTATAGCGGTATGTTTCGAGAATCATCGAAAGAAGTATCGTAACCAGTTAGTCACGCCGATCACGCATCATTTCGAAATAAGAATGTAAAAATTCCGAGATTAGAAGTCCTAACTCAATTAAAAAAGAAAAAGATCCAGAAAATACGAAATTTCCATCACAAATCTTGAAAAGTGGATAATGTAAGCTCTATCACTACTTAATTGCCGTAAAACTCCGCAGTCTTCATTTTCACATCTCCCACGCATATGTCTGCGACTAAGCTCTTCCGTAATAGACTGCATTTATATACGCATTACTTCGGCGTAGAAGAGACCGAGATTTCCTCGCCCACCCGCCAGGACACCGGTTTTGCACTGGAGTGCGAGAGGAGGGCATCGCGGAAAGATGCACTTGGCGTGCCGCAGGACTCATAAGGCCGAGATCGGCGCGCAGTTTTCTGGCTCGCGCGCAGGGGGAGAGCAGCTGTTTCCAGGCTGGACGGTGCGGCGGCCACAGAACGTCGGGGACTTCAGTCTGATCGCGACCGTCGTGTTGCGAGGTTGTGTCACGGGAACCGGTTTGTTCGTGTTTCGAGAAACCGCCTCGTCGCCACGTGCATTCGTTCGTTCAACTACAATCGCCCCGGCTCTGTGTGGTCGAACTTTTGCCGCCGGTTCGGGTTACGAGAAGACGCGCCGTCGATTAAATTTCACCGTCAGGAAGCGGCGTTCGCCGATGAAAGTCCGATATCGTCGGCTGGACCTTCCTTGCGTATAGGTGAGTCTTCCTTTTTTTCTCTCTTTGAAAACAAGTGAACAAGCGAATTCCCGACGCGCAGCCACTTTTCACGCGATTATTCCTTTAACGCTCGATTCATTCGCGTTGTATAAATTTATCGGTGTTAAAGGTATGTAACTCGAAGGATTAAAATACATACCGGTTCACAGATGTATGCGTATATTGATTAGGCTGGACGTGATTACTTTAAATCACGCGCGTGGCCGCAATTTACATAATACTTTTATTTTTTGCGATCTAGATTACTTTCGCGAAGTTTTATATCGATCAGATTAGGCGGTTTTATTTCATTTTAAATTATTTTCTTTCGTTTTTAAAGTGCTGTAACTTGTAACTTTGATTATTTTCTCGTGTGATAATGATATTGCAAAATGTATAAATTATAACATATAATTCTGTTAATCTTAAAATACAGCTGGAGCAAAGAAACTACCTTTTTTTCTCCATTGTTAATGCAGTTCCAACGTTCAGACAGAATATAAAATACACTTCCGTCACACCAATGTATTATTCTTTGTTGAAGTAAATTTCATGTAGGCCGATTCGTGACCGATGCTACCATAAATATCAGCGAGCCGGTCTTGTGATGTCATGAAAAAAAAGCGGTATGGCATATGTCATCCCATTCAATAGGCCTTACTCATTCAAAGAATGTGTCCGAAACCTTCATATACTATTTCATACACTATTTCGACAGCGTTACAAACGTTTTTCACCGAAAACAGATTTCACACGAAAAGGCCAGTTTGTTCAATCTTCTATTATCTCGATGGCTATAATTTAAAAACTTTAAATTGTATATTGAATTAATTTCTAAAAAAATTGTTTGCATTTTTTTTTAAATCTTTTATCGGTGAAAATTGTATTGTTGAATTTTAATGGAAAGCATTCGTGACTGTCGCTTTTTGAAGTTTATGCGTTGCATATTATATAAAAGCGCGTGCCGCATGAAGCACATTTAAAAGGAGCAATGAAGCATATGCACAATGGTGTAATTGTATAGTACACGGTTTTTGTGTACAATAGCGTAATTGTATGACTTGGAATAATTCGAATCGGACTATTTTGGCTGAAACGTGTAAACGGATTAAGAAGAGAAAAGTTTTTCAATAAAAGTTGCGTCATTCAAAGGCATCCACGTTTGTGGAATTGCTAAATATAATCGCACGGAATTATGATTACGCAAACATAAAGCTAATTGTCGATTTTTTAAATGTATATTTTAAAAATTATATAATTTTTATGTAAGTCGAAATATAAACAAAATAAATTCAAAGTTATGCTTTTCACAAATCTTATTGTAATTTTCACAGAAAGAACTTTCAATCGTCCTAAATATAACATCGGTACATAAACATTGCATATGCAATGTGAATAAAATGCAATTGGTGTACAAAGCAATGAATTATTCGGCCGAGAAACGGAGAACGGATACCAAAGACTATGGTGATTATATGTGCGAGTGCAGAAACGATCTATATCACTAACATTGCGTTTCGTATCTAGTGCTCGATGGCATGATTAACGACTTATTGTGCATTCTTACACAGAAAGATTACTTATCACACGCGCTGTTTTTTTTATTTATTCCCAGACATCTGCATAAATCAACAGAGTTCACTGTTGACGTTGTGTGTTGATTTTCCACAGTTAAACAGGATTGATATCCATATAATATCTTAACCATTACTTAACGCATAATCTAAGAGAGCAAAATTAGCAATCGTAAAATTTATAGGTATTTTATGTAAAATACGCATAAATTGTATACCCAACGTGATGAAAAAAGCGCACACTCCCACAAGCGTAGTAAATAACTGATAATTATATAGCTTATAATTTTCTTAAGACTAGCTTATTAAATGTGATTATAAGATTGGATAACCAACGAGTCCATTTATTTTATTTTATTTTTTGTGAATGTATAAAACCAAAATATTACATCTCTGCAAATGGAATATTCTGAATTTGCTGGCGGACACAACTTGATAAAATCTGTTTTTCCGCATATCAGATGCAAATGATGTAAGCTTTTGATGACGAGAACCCTCTTGAAGTTCGCAACTCTGTTCGCATTCGTATTTGAGAGACACGCGAGAACTTTTTTTCGGGCTGACATTGAGGAAGTCGGTAGCAGTATGGTGAAATGAAAAATTATTTTGCGTATCATTTCAAAGAGCCAAAAATAGATCCAAGACGAAAGGTACGCGAATATAAAAGACTGAATAAATCATTGTGAATACTTTCTATCCGCGCTGTTCGCAAGACTTGTCTCGAGAATTTACGAATTCGTCTTGCCAATGCATTAGACGGATAAATATTACCGCGAGAACCGTCTACAAGATATTTCACGGCAAACTATTTTTAAGAAATTTTAATGGCTCGGCTATTGTTACGGTGTAATGGAAATCTGATTCTTAAAACTCTTATTAATGATGAAGAAAGATAAAGAGAGATGCATTATGTCTATTGGAGATCTATCGATTTTGAGAACTTATATATATTTTATATATATGTAAGTTAAATTTTATATATATAAGTTATATATATAACTTATATATATATATATATATAATAAAACTTAACTTATATATTTTATATATAACTATGTTCATAATGCCATGCTGCTACGAGATTTATTTTAAAAGAAAATTATTATAAGAATATTGAAAACTCTTGTCAATTCAATCTATTTTTATTGTTTCAAACCACTTCTTTTGTTTAATACGTGATAATAGTTTGATGATATTTATTTGTGTATATAAATTAATATTCAGCAAAACCATTTTTATTAATCCCTTAAGACGTAAGCTCGAGTTAACTCGGGCAATCGGTTCTGGCGTCAAATAAAAACCATGTGTTAAGGGGTTAATATATCTTTTATATTCTGAGAAAAATTATTCTAAAAATATTTTATTCTACATTGGGGTCTTCGAATTAATAAATATTAGAGTTTGGCATTTCTTGTATTACAATACATAAAAATTATATATTAAAGATCTTTGTTAACAGCGATGTGTAAATGTGAGTGTCAGCATATTCTTCATTTCAAATAAATATTCTGCGCAATTTATAGCGAGAGTGAAACTTACTAGCTCTAATGTATATGCACATAATTCGCAAATATTTCTATACGTGATATATATATATTCTGCATATCGATCTATATGCAATATGGTAACGCAATATAGTATTGCAATACCGTAACTATGTCTTGTACTAGATACTGAAAATAATTAAATTAAAATAAAGTTGATAGAGGCATGCGACAAAATATATATTCTTATCTTATTCAAAGCTTTATTACAATCATGATTTAAAAACAAATGTATTCGTCTAGCCAGATCAAGCATAAGTAAATATAATAAATGGTGTTGTACATTTTGTCTAATTCTATAGCAAAGAGCAGTATTCTGACAAATTGAGAACTCGAATTTGATTTGTAGATATATTATCTTTGCCTGATATTCGTACGGCAGCTTTACACTACTTATGTTTTAGTTTAGGCGTGGAGTAACATGCAAACCCTCACAGTCTAAAAATTAAAGCAAATGCAAGTGATATTATATTTTCTCTGTGTATTATAATCAATTGATCAAATTTTTGAATACGAAAAAATATGTATGCTAACTCCATCTAGTATATGAAAGTTTATAACACAGGTATTGAATGTATATATATATACACAGTACTGATTCGCGGCCGATTAGCTTACAAGTTCAATACATGTACTACATCAATTTCTACACGATAGATGGAGAATAACACAAAGAGTTTCTCGTATTCAAAATATCAAAGTAATGGTTATAATAGACGAACAGAAGACGAACAAAATTATGACAAAAACCTGCAGGGGATTGCCGTGATCAAGAAACGGTTTCCTCCAGGCACTATTGCCTGTATATTTTGCAAATAATTTTGCAGATATATTTGCAGTTAATTTTTGATAGTGTGGGGGACTTACAGAAATGTTTGGTACCCCACCTCTAAACTGAAAGAAACATAAGTTGTAATGTAAAGTTGTCATACTTACGAACACTTCGCAAGTGGTTGGGCTGGGTTTGAACTCAGGTTTTCATTTTTCGAGCCACTGCTGTTGACCACTACTCCACGCAGAACCTACGACCCTTTGCTTTTTCGTTTCCGTATTATTGGGCCGTAGCAGACAAGATATTCATCTTTTTATCAAATAAAACGTTCGTTTTTATATTCATTATTTTTGCGGACCAACAGTGTTCGCTTATTTTTTGCTTGTAATTCAGCCGACAAAACAATATACATTTGTTCCTAAATCATTATTCATTATTAAAGTTTCTGTCAAACAAAATATTTTTTATCTTTTAATTATTTTAATTTAATTTCGATTTATATTATTATTGCATTGCAATAATAGAAAATTAAAATGTTTATGAAATTTTTATAATTCCAAGTGTTGCAATAATATATTATATTTCTATCTCATGATATAAAAATTTTACTATAAAATTTGAAATAGAAATCGTTATAAATATTTTTTTTAACTTTAATAAAAAAATACATAATTTATAATCAAGATGGTAATATATTGTATTATATAATATTGTATTAATATAATTATACTGTTAATAAATATAAAAAAATTTACATGTATGCTATTATTCACGTATTGATTAAACTTTGAATTTTGGCCATATTATTTTTTATCATTTTTTATTTTTGATAATGGAATGATTAAAATAAAAATTTTTCTTCGTATTATATCTGTTTTTATGTTTCATATTTTTGATGCGCGTCCATTAAAATATCAATATTTCACCTGAATGAACTCTATCTTAGATTATAAATAGATAATCTTTGATATATCCGTTATGTATCTATTTGTCAAGTTTCCTATTCATTTTCAAATCTGATAGTAACATAGGGAAAAGCATGCGATGCATTTGTCTCGATTTAGACGAAAATGGAGGTTTGCGGTCAAGCATGAATCTCACTTCCGGAAT